GGCTCTTGGATCTCTAAGGAGGTGCTAATTTAGCCTCTGCCTGAGGCTACCCAGCAGGAGCTACGGAGAGATCTGCAGATTCCTCTTCTTTGTTTGGGGTTTGGAGGTGCCCAGATGAGGCCCAGCTGTGAAGCAGTGCAAGCTGCTGTGGGGCTTTGGGCCTTCTTTTGGATGTTCTGGGTGTCTCTGACCTAGCTGCAGTTTGTTAGGTAATTTTAGATTGCAAAGGGCCAGGCCATTCATATGCAAAAGCCTCTGCCCACAGCTTGGGTGGGACAGGGTCTCAGGGAGTCAACAGGGTGGAAACAACAGCTATGGCTGATCCTTAGCCCTGCCCTAAGAGGCCCCAGGTCTCAGTGTCCCACAGTAATCGCTGCAAACACCTCTGGAAAGCCGTCATTCATATGCAAAAGCCTCTGCCCACAGCTTGGGTGGGACAGGGTCTCAGGGAGTCAACAGGGTGGAGCAAACAGCTATGGCTGATCCTTAGCCCTGCCCTAAGAGGCCCCAGGTCTCAGTGTCCCACAGTAATCGCTGCAAACACCTCTGAGAGAAAGCCGTCCTCGAGTTCCGACCGATGTCCAGTTTCTCCCCAGAGACTCGCCCGGAACTGGAGTTCAGAGCAGTCAGGAGCTTGAGACTCCCTCCAGATTGAAAAAGACAACCGTGTCCTCAGTTGCCAGCCCTTTCCGCGTGCACCTCCATACCTCTGCACTTTACTTCCACACCTCCTCTGAGTCTCAGTGTGTGCTTTTCTCTTTCCTTCTAGTTGTAGAATTTCCACTCAGCCAGCCTTCCTGTGGTTCTGGATAATGTCCGTTTTGTCTTTTAGTTGTAGTTTTGAAGTGGTTGTGCGAGGCAGCAATTTCAGGTGTTTACCTATGCCGCCATCTTGGTTTCTCATCTTTTTTAATGTACCAAATATCAAAGTTTTGCCTGACTGGAGTGAACATTGTCCAGTGCACCGAAAGGTGGCTGATTTGATTCCTGGTCGGGGCACATACCTGAATTGTGGGTTTGATCCCCAGTTTCTCTCCTCTCCCCGCAAACCTCTCCCTTCCTTCCTCTCTCTTCAGGTGAGGATTTTTTTAAGTGTCAAAGGTTTTCAGGTACAGTGAAAATTAAGTAAGGAAGTGAATCTTTAATTAGAAATTTCAAAAGAGAACTGAGGTCACAGAAGGGATTTTGTTAAAATAAAAAATTGGTTGTATCAATTCAGCAACCATTGAGTTGTCAGTATCCTTAGTTTTAGGTGTATTGGTCTTATCTCCTCAACTTTTAGATTGAATCATGAAATTGCATTTTTGTTGGTTAAAAACAGTCAGGCATCATCAGTTTCACCCTATAGATGTCATCTCCATGGGGCAGAGAACACATAGTGCTGTGTGTTATTTCCTTTAGTTCTTGCTATAATGCCAGACACATTTATTCTTTGACATTATGAATTGAAAGTAGTATTTGGGAGCAGAAAGTCTTTTTGAAATTACTTAGAGCAATATATTATTTTTTTAAATGAAGAAAATAAGACCCCAAAATTTCTTAGAATTATAGTTCTTTTGATGTTCAGAATGACATTGAGACATTATAAATAAGTCTTCAATGTGCTTTGAATATTCTACCTACCAGTAAAAGGAACTAGTCTGATAAATTTTATAGTAATAGTTCTTAGCAATTGAAGTTGGCAAAAGACATTAATCTTTTGCCATTTTTGTTGACAAGGAGGTTAACATTTGGGGTGGCAGTATTTTTTAATGGTTAATGCTAACAAGAAACACTTAATCCAAAGGAACATGGTAATAATAATACCTGAATATCAACATGATCTGAATCTGAAACATGATCCCCAAATGCATTACTTTCCTATATTTGATAAACTTTATTTCTCTATTAGGAAACAATCTCTGCTTGTGGATTTAGTTACTGTTTATAGAAAGGTGTCATAGCTTAGAAAAATTAGAAATAGACTAAGTGCAAAGATATTTATAGGTCATGTTTTTTTATTTAGGTCGGACACACTGTGAAACCCTGCATTTTGCATGACTTTCTGCCATTTTAGTTATAGAATAATCACATTTTAGTGCATTTGGTTTAATATTTTTCAATAACAGTTTATACTGAAACCTACAAAAAAACCCCAAATAATAAGAGTCCAACACCCTATCTTTATAAATGAGGAAACTGAGGCCTAATAAATTTAAGTAACTCTCTGTACCTTGGAGTTAAGTCACAGAGCAAGTTGGAACTTGGCTATTCTACTACACAATGTCTATTTTGTCATTTGTCCTTTTAATTGCAAAATCTTTGCCTCATATTAGTACCCTCTCAAAAATGGGTGAAGATTAAGTAAATATGCTATAATCTTGGTGCTTGGAATGAAGCAGAGACTTTTATTGATGGTGACATGTTATCTATACTAATAAAAGGGTAATATGCTAATTAGTCTGGACCGTCCTTCCAGACAAAGCCACGGTGGCGGGAGCCAAGGCAGAGGCGGTTAGGGGCGGCAGGGGAGAGCAGTTAGGGGCAATCCGGCCGACAGGGGAGAGCAGTTAGGAGTGATCAAGCTGGCAGGGAAGAGCAGTTAGGGGCGATCAGGCAGGCAGGCAGGTGAGCGGTTAGGAGCCAGCAGTCTCAGATTGCTAGAGGGATGTCGGACATCCCCCAAGGAGTCCCGGATTGGAGAGGGTGCAGGCCAGGCTGAGGGACCCTCCCCCACCCCTGATCCTGTGCATGAATTTCGTACACCGGGCCTCTAGTATGAATATATTTAGAAGCTGTGTCCATATTTAATGACCACTGAACAACTGATGGAGACCACAGGGCAAGACTGTCACTCTTTGACAAATTTGCTAGTTTTCCAAACCCTTGGAAGAAGCATCAAGTAAAGCTTTGAAACAGAGGCCTATTGGTTACATGTCCTATGCCTGATGGCTCTTTGTTTTTTTGTTTTTCCTGATAGAAACATGAGTTCAGCTGGTCCTGATGGGAGGAAAGTGATGAGACGGTGTGATGGACTGATTGATTCGCTGGTCCATTATGTCAGAGGAACCATTGCAGATTACCAGCCAGACGACAAGGTGATGCAAGAGTTAAATATCTTACATGTTGAATTATTTTGTCTTACTAAGACTCTTCAGAGTATTCTTGAAGTAATAGTTTGGGTTTAGTTTTATTCCTTAACTCATTTACTGAGCTGAGGATTTCCCATACACACTTAAAAATATTAAAATATATCAAACCCAATTTTTTTCTGTTTTCCAGACTTAAATTCCAACTATCCCTTTAACAGCTCTGCATAGATATTTGAAAGGAGCCCAAATGCTCCATGTTCAGCAATGAACTTAAATTCATCCCTTCCCTCCTCCCAAACTTGCTCCTTCTCTGTGTAATCTTTCTTCATAATCACCACCATCCACCAAATAAAAACAGAAATATGGGTAATGTCTCACTGCCTCTCCTCACACCCCACAGCACTATGTTTGTGATCATTGATGGTCTAGCCTTAGCCTTTCCGGCCATACTCATTCTATTCCCCCAGGTTCCCTATAGTCCAAGCATCCAGTAAACCTTGTAAGATCTAAAGCCTAATAAGTCCTGTGATATCACACTTGCAAAGGGATGTCTATATGTATCTGATTAATATTTGTGTGTTTTCTCAGGCCACGGAGAACTGTGTGTGCATTCTTCATAACCTCTCCTACCAGCTGGAGGCAGAGCTCCCAGAGAAATATTCCCAAAGTAACTATATTCAAAACCGGAATATCCAGATGGACAACAACAAAAGTATTGGGTGTTTTGGCAATCGAAGCAGGAAAGTAAAAGAGGTATGTTGGGAGGGCTTTGAAAGAAAAAGTGGTTATGTATGTACATTTCCATGTACTTAGTATACTAGGGTTGGCAAAAGTAGGTTTCCAGTTGTGAGTACACAAAGCATAGGTTTTATTCTTGTATTATTATTTATTAATTATTGAATTAATTTTCATATGAACAATTGTAGACCTACTTTTGCTCACCCCTTATGTCAGGCATTATTTTGAGTTCTTTTGATCCTTACATCAACCCTACAATGTGTGTATGATTAATACCCTCATATATTGAAGAGAAAACAGAGGTACAAAAAGGTTAATCAGTTTTCCCAGAATTATTCAGCAAATTAATAGAGGGGATGAGATTCAGTTCCAGGCAATCTGGCTCTAGATTTGCATTGTTAGCCATTAAAACTGTACTGCTTTATGTCCTATTGCTTAGGAAATAGGCTTAATGCACCATGGCCAACGGTATATAAATAGTTTCAACATTTAAAAACAGCCCAGATATTCAGATTTGGACATTCTAAAAACAAACTTCGGACATCCTAAACGCAAATCTGTAGGAAGGAATACTGTTCACACTGAAAGAATGTGACCTCTCTACTCCTCGGGGTGTCGTGGTGTTTGTGAACTTGGAGAACAACTGGTAAATTTAGAATCCTGATGTGATCCCGGACACTTCACTGGACTCGGAGGGAAGAGGCCTGTGTTTCTTATCTTCAGAGCGTTTGTGCCTAATTTAGCTTTCGTTCACCAGCAGCCTGGAAACTGTTCTAGGGCAGCCTATGCTTTATACTCTGAGTTCTTTCTCACAGTGAAATGGAAAGTTGAGGGTATGGGATGTTGCTAGGCAAAAATGGTCATCATGGACTAAAAGTGAAGTGATTGGGAATCATACATATTTGCATTTTCATTTCCATTTCAGGGGCTTCTTACTATACAAATCATGAGTCTCTCTAGACTAGTCAGTGTTCCGAGTCTCTTGGTTTGGGTGTGGAATTGTAGAAATCCCTTGAAGGCATTAATTCTAGATCTTATCGTGTGTGTGGTTAGCAATACCAGGACATGCCGATGCTCGAAGAAAAGAGCAACCCCAAGGGTGTGGAGTGGCTGTGGCACTCCATCGTGACCCGGATGTATTTGTCCTTGATCGCCAAAAGTGGCCGAAGCTACACCCAGGAAGCATCTTTGGGAGCTCTCCAGAATCTCACGGCAGGAAGTGGCCCAGTGAGTATCATGCCTGTTTTCCTACTTTGTAAAGTAATGCCATTATAGACATACCTACATTAGGTTTTTGTTATGCTTAGATGGTGTGATTAAAAACAATATTTGGTTTTTTAATTTCTAAAAAGAATCACTGAATAGAAAAACATGAGAAGCAAGCCATTATACATAATTCCAGAAAAAATCCACTCCATAAACCTTGTGTTTCTAACTGACCTTTAGGAAGCCTAGGAACTGTGAGGTAATTGATGTGGTCATCTATAATGGATAGACGGATAGGAGGAGGAGAAGGCTCTAAAGCAGTGGATGTTGGGAAAGGACCAATAGGTCTTGAGATGACAAAGAAAATGCTGTGTGAGTGACAGAGCTGGATAGCAGTGACTCAGGAGAGCAGAGTTTTGCATATGAGGAAAGACAAATATCTAGATGAGCCATTGGGAAGAGAGAGGAATCCTAAGCCCACCTCTGTGCCTGAGACATGGGGGTTGTACTGAATAAATTGCCTCCTGTCTAGAATGGCTTCAGGGGAGGATTCTTCTCAGTGGTTATTGAACTTTTTTGAGTCAAGGAGACTGAGTATCTAATAAAAGTTATGGACCCTTTCCCTGAGAAAGGTAAACACAAGAATAGTTTTAAGGGCCACCTGTCCCCTCCCTGAAATCTATATTGGGCCCTATATTAAGAGCCCCTGTTCTAAAAGGTACAGTGGAGAATGTAAGGACAGCAATCTGTAGAGGGGGGGGAACAAGCTGGGTTTGAATAAGATAAACAGAGAAGATACACCCTGAAGAATGGTCATGAATTGCAGAAATTTCTGGCATGGTGACCTCAAATTAGCTTCGAATAGAACTCTATAAAGTTGCCGACACACAAGCTAAGGCATTTGTTGAGGTCCAGCCCCAGCAGGTCCAGGGGTTTCCAAAGGTGTGGACAGAGTCGGCGAAGAAGGAATGACATGGAAGCAGCGTTCAGGTGATCAGCATAGTTGGGTTCTCCCTTTAGTGTCCTCTTACATCTATATTTATACTATTTGATCCTATAAGCATGCCTCTATAATCACACCGTGGTATGTTTTGGGTAACGTTCTACAGTTCCTTGTTTCTTATCTGACCTTTGCCAAAAATCCTGTCTCTAGTTCTGTTGATTTTAATCTTGTCTAGGTTAATCTCTCTGTTCCATTACAAGGGCTATTCCAAGGTCACTGCTCTACTGATAGGCTGTAAGGAAGTGACTGAAGGAGATTATCCTACCCAGTAAAGGTTATGTCCTCCCAGCCTCGCTGCTTGCCTTCCCTGGGACTGCCCTGTGTCGGTGGGTCTCCAGGGGTATAGGCTTTGGTGCTTTCCCTGGTGGGCAGACCCCTGGGGATGTGGGCCCAACAAGTCCCAAATTTATTGCCAACAGTCTTAGTCCAAGTTCTTCATAAGTAGTACATGGTATTTCTGTAACACTAGGGGGATTTACTGATTTATTCTCTTCCTTAGTCCTGTTAACCCCTAACCTGGGGAAACAACCTTTCTTGGGGAGGTGGTCCTGGTTAAAACACATAGCGCTTAAGAGGGGGAGCGAACATATGTCATATACGCCAGGTCCCTTGAAACATAAGCTGTGCAGATGTTTCTTCCCTGCAGCAACTGCGTCAAGCAGCAAGGGTGGGTCGGCTTCCAGCAGGCATTGGCATTGTTGGAGGTTTGCTGGTGCTAGGAAGGGCCTAGTCGGAACTCAGATGCCCTGTGAAAGCAGACGACCAGCCTAATTCTAGAGATTTGCCTCTAGAGGACCTGGTCCTACAACTAGCATATGAGCCTCTGACACAGAGCATAGACTTACAGATGGTCTGACTAGCAATGCATTTCTTTTTTTAAAAGCCCAGTGTCTCTTTCATAATAAACTGGTTTTTTTGGAAACAAATAACTTGATTAAAATATGTAAAATGCCAAAATTTGAACAAGACGAAACAGAAAAGACGACTAAGCCAACAACCAATAAATGTAACTTTGATTCTACAACTGTGATACCAAAACATTGTCTTTATCATGTTCATTTCACAGTGATGAACTGAAACTGTGAATAAAGGGCGGACTGATCAATAGGAAGGAAAGGCAAAGACAGGCCCATTTTATTTATAAACAGAAGCAAAAATTATAGCTAACCAAACCCAATGCTATATTAAAAAACACTGCATAAACTGTTTTTACCCAGTAATTCATTTGAAACCCTAATAAGGATTTAAAGACAGTATCTTCAGGCTGATTTAGTCCCAGTTCTAGTTTTGAAAATGTCTTGCTCAATCTCTAGCCATCGACAAACAGCATTATTGTGAAGTCAAATGCAATAGTATTTATAGGATGTGTCCCACGAAACAGATGCCGATGTCAGTGGCGCAGACTGTGGTCCAGAAGGAAAACGGCCTGCAGCACATCCGGAAGATGCTGCACGTTGGTGACCCAAGTGTGAAAAAGACCGCAGTCTCCCTGCTGAGGAATCTGTCTCGGAACCTTTCCCTGTGCAATGAAATTGGTGAGTCAGTAAGAATGGCTGCATGTAGTATGACCATGTTGGAAATACAAGTGCAATAAAACATTGTCCTTATCGCATTCTTTTTACAATGATGGGCTGAAAATGTGAATAAAGAGCAAAATGTGATAGCTAGGCCTGACTTTTGTGCACCAAGGCATCAAGGGTAGGTTTTCTAACTGGGTCTCCACAAGGATTTTTCTTCATATCCAGCATCTCTGTTTGTTCATTTTAATTACTGCAGAAGATTCAGCATGGATGGTGTTAGAATAAATACAATGAAACATATTTGCTTCTTTTTATGAAAGTCTGTATTGACAAGGATGATAACTATGTTATATACTATCACATAACAATGTTTTATTTACTTGCTTAATACTTAGAAAAATCTGATAACTCTGAATTAAGTAAAAAAACTATAAAATGACATAATGGGAAGATAACGTCAAAATTAAGTATGCTTCCTAATGCTCTATAAAGTAGTCATTTCACTAAAATTATAAACAAATTTTTGTGGGTTTATTTAATGGAGTGGATTATTCTAAAATTACACACACACACACACAGCATGAGAGATACTGAAGTCTGTGGTTATGTTTTAATAATGTCATTTCCAAAGGCAGGAGGCAGCCCAACACTGGACAGGTGGTTTCATGCCCATTATAAATATAACGAGCCTGGAAATTTTTCGGTGGATCTAAAAGAAACTTTGCCATCGGCACTTTCAACATTATGGGAGTGTTCCCATTGTCTCCTGTGGGCTTTTGTGCTCCACTTCAATTGGGTGTATAATCCTTTGACTTTTTTTCTTTTCCCAAATAAAACGTTGACTCCATCTTTAAAACTTTGCTGATGAAATAACTGCACTCTACACATTATGCATGTGCCTTCCAGGCAGAAGTGCTGCAGGTCTCGGCGCAGGTCCTCTAACTGTGGGCAGATGAAGCGGTAGCTCCACAGTTTATGGAAGATGATTTCACTAATAAACCGCCCCGCATGTTAAGGGCAATAGTGAGATGAGGCTTCAGCAAGATAAATACAGTTTTTAAATTTTAAATTGGCTTTATGTCAAATGTATAATTTGAGTAAAAGGACCTGTCTTGGTTCAGAGTATTAATAGCCAGGAATAAATGAAATCACTTTGAAATGCATGTTTTGTGTTTCTCATGAGAGACTTCAAGGCCAGGTAAGACTTTCCATGTGTTGGCCCAGAATGCAATCATCACATGTTACTTAGATTTAAAGAAATAAATGTAATAGACAACTTAGTGCGGTGACGGAGTAATAGGCCTCCTGCAGAGGACATGGACCTGCATCCTGCAGTGCCACCAAGGTCACCGTGACTGGTCATTTAACTGCTCCAAACAGGGAGAGATTAGTAATCACTACCTAACAGTGTTTTCCCAGGATCAGGTAACAACGAACAGTATGTGCAAGCAACAGGAAGTATTGGACACTTCTCTAGGATCTCAATTCACATTCATTCCTTGTTGCAGAATTTTCAAACATCCATGCCTTGGCTTGGGTTTTTAGCCATTACAGTAGGTCCTGGGTTACGTCGGAGATCCGTTCCTACGGCGCGACATAAGGCGATTTTCGCCGTAAGTCAGAACCCACCTACATAAGCACCTACGTCACTCCCATGGAGCACATACACAGCAGTAATGAAGTGAAACAGTAAAAAAAATTTTTAAAAAAGATAACAACTCCTGACCTTTACTTGTGGCAAATAAATAATAAAAAACATAAAGCACATATGTACATACGTTGAAATGACAGAACTTTTTTTTTCATAAATAAATGAGAGATGGCGATGTAACCACAAAACGACACACGTCGAGTCTGACGTAACCCAAGGACTGTCTGTGCATAAAATCTCCCTCAACTATATGACATTAAGCTATAACCTTCCTATATCATGATAAGGCCTTTAATTTTAGATTTCACTATTAAAGATCCAATTTTAATTGTCCCAAAGTGAATGAGTGAATGTATTTATGGAGGCCCACTGTGTGTGTGTGTGTGAGAGAGAGAGAGAGAGAGAGAGAGAGAGAACACAGGGTGGGGCAAAATAGTTTTACAGTTGTGAGTACACAAAAAAATTTATTCTTGTATTATAATAAGAGAGGAAGAGAAATACAGGGAGACCCTTTCTATATTGTAGTGTTATGCTTTGTCATGTAAGCAGTTATATTTTCTAAGAAAAACAAACATGATACAAAGTGTTAAAGACTCTATCTTCTCTAATTCTCACTCCTTAGACATGACCCTACCTTTCCACCTTAAAATTGATCTACAGAAGTGGACTTGCTGGTGGTGGTGAGGGGGAAAGGTGGGGCTCACTCATCAGTGATTGTTCTCACTGTGGGCAGCCCCGGTCTCAGCAGCCACCACCGCACCTTGCAGAGAGATTGAGCATTTCTGTTGTGATTGTCACAGACTTACTTTTATGTTTTCAACCTAAATTCAGTGGAAGGAAATTTCATGTTCTCAAGGCCTTTAGTTCTATGGTTTAACTTATTAAAAAGAGGAAACCTTCTCATAGTAATTCATCTGTGTTGAGAGCTTACTAGGCACAGGGTATTATGATGCAGTAACACATGTGAACTTATTTAATCCCTCAAAACAACCCTGTGAAGTAAATACTATTATTACACACCCACTTTACAAATTAGGGAAAACCAAGCATAGAGAGGTTAAGTAGCTTACCCAGACTACACAGCCATTAAGTGGCAGAGACAGGATTGAAACTAAAGAGGTGTGGCCTCGGAGGATGAGATCTAAGCCCTTCACACTCTGCTGTGATGCTGAAACACAGTCAAAAAGGAAGTGTTCCGGCCTTTGAGTAGAAGGTATGCCTTTGCTGTCAGGGGGGCCCAGGTGTCATCAAAGGATGACATTGTTCAGTTCCTTTTATCGAAGATCTCTGTTATAGGCATGGCAGTCGAAGATAGACATCCGCAAACAAATACTATGACTGTCGTCAAGGGACCCGTAGCCACATCTGGAATTCATGTAACTGATCACAATGTAGACTCATAGAGAGAGAAGTACAGTTCAAGGTGCCACATAAACTCAGATGAAAAATAATAAAATTAAGCAGAAGTATTTGTTTTAAACTACAATAAACACAACACTGTATTAAAGAGCTCTGAGGAGCTACAAAAGCAAGAGAAATATGTTCCATATCTTTTTTTAAAATAAAT